TTCTTTGCATGTGCCTAGTACCTTATGTGGGACATATGCACATGCAGTGATTTAGCGATTCGATTCAAAATGGCCGACTGGCAGCCATCTTGTTTTTTGAAAATGTTGTATTTTGGACATGCTTTGTCAGTTGTCATTCAAACTTGGTACATAGATTATACATGTTAGGATACATGTCCATGACGATTTATTTCGCAATTGGATCAAAGATGGTCGACTGGCAGGCATCTTGTTTTTGTTTTTTTATGCGGTATCTTGGATGTGCTCTGTCAGTTTTCATTCAAATTTGGCACATACATGTACTTTATACATGTTAGGATGCATGTCCATGACAATTTGTTTCAAAATCTGGTCAAGGATGGCCGTTTGACAGCCATCTGACTTTTTGGCCTTACTACTATATTTCCACAATTTATGTACCATTTTCATTCGTATTTGGCACATTCATTATACATATCTCTGTGTTTCATAATCAGATCAAAGATGGCTGAATAACGGCTGTTTTTATTTTGGCCATATTACTATGACACGAAACACGTGTTTTCATGTAAATAAACAATCTGTTGTATACGCCACTTGGAACTCAAGTTTCAAGGACACGCTTGCGACAACCCCTCCGCTTTAATATGACAAGCACAAAGAGAACTTAATGGGGACTGTGTCATTTTCAATGACTTGTTTGACAGATAATATAGCTAATGTTGGGTATCACTTGAAACAAGACTCAGTGGAGAATAAATATGGAGTGCCTGATAGAAAGTACATGTTAGCCACAGTATACATGTAGTGTAAACAATACTTATAACCAGCAAATCTCATTCCATGTCTGCAGTCATGTAATGATTCAACATTTATTCGATCTGTACAGGCACTGATGAGACAGTTCAGTGAGACGCAGTGGGCCAAGATGTCAGAGAAAGAACGACAGGCAAAGCTGATGAAATTGAAATTAGAAGAAAAAAGATTAAGGAGAGAAGGAAAATTTGATGAAGCTGCTGCCTTGTTGGGAGACAGTTTTAAAAATGATGAAGGTGAGAAATAAAAACAACTTGTGTGATTTTATCAAAGCAATTTTACATGTGTGAGGGCATGTACATGCATGAAATTTTGAAATTGAATCTTAGTCATGCAATTCAGACGACATCCATGTATAATGCCCCAAGATATGCCTCATCTTTTGCAATTTGAATTCAAAATGGTTGACTGGTGACTGGCACTACACACACACACATCATGCAGCATATTGGCACATGCATTCATTTCACCATGATCCAATTCAAGATAGCAGCATGATGGCCATTTTAGTGCTAAAAATGTAATTCAAAGTTTGCCAGAACCTTTAATCTGCCACACGTTTTTCAGTTTTGAAAGATATCATTCACTTCTGTTCTTCTTTATCATGGGACATGTGTACATGTGCACTATTAAATAAAATGGATAGCAACTGTGTCATGTTTCTTAAAGTTTAATATACAATTTCAACAAATACTGAAATTCTGATTGTTTTCAAATATTTTGTCAGTATAAAATCTTTTCCAAGTAAAGTCCAGTGGGCTTTATTATAAGCATAAGAATATGCTCAAATTGAATAGAAGGCTCAAGTTTGATTAACCACATATGAAGTGGTCACTAAATTTCATTTCTTTGTCAGAATATCAAACAAATAATTGTTTTATCTTTTCAGAACTGGCTCGAATACTTGGCGAGTCTGAGAAGACTCAAAAGGAGAGACTGAAAGAACGACTTGAAAGGAGAAGACAGCTAAAAGCAGAGAGAAAAGCTGAAGGTTTACCGGTTGATGATAAATCACTGGATGAAATTCTGGATGCTGAGGAAGAAGAGGAAAAGAAAAGAAGAAGGGTAAGAATCCATAGCTTGATGTATGGATGCATAGAAATAATGCTAC